AATTGGATCTGCAACGAACAAAACCTGTGTCTTCCAATGTGAACAAAGCTGCTTACAGCAAATCTGAGTCGCTTTCCAGTATCAATAGAACTGATTCTGGACGACCTAGCGCGCGAGTTAATAGAGGTTTGAGCATAGTAAGTGTAATGTGTCTTCTTATTTTTAAGATATAGTAAGATTTATCATGTAACATAAATATATGTATGAATGTAGGGGCCTAAAAGCAAACCAAAGGAACCGAAAAAGCCCTCGGCGCCAAATATACGCGAAGTCGAGATGCAAAATTGGAAACGTCGCAAGAGCTATGATCCCATGAAAGCTGCTATGGAAGGACGGAGAAAAGCCGGCCTGGCGAAGAAAAATGCAACTTTGTCACCGAGGTAAGAGTCGTTGATTCAACTTTTCATAAAGGAAGAAGTGATGTACGAAGAATTTTTCTAGACAACGCAAAAATCCAGGTGTCTATGTCTCTTGGTCTTTTGCATTGTCTAGGAAACATTATTGCTCAACTAATTGAGAAGACAATCATTTTACTTTACTTGTTATATTTTGTTGTTAGGACCGATAGCGATCGATAAAAAAATATTGTGGAAAAACAAGCAAGTGGTATGGTACAAACTCATTTGAACATTTTGCATAGATTCTCTCATTTTATATAGATTCTGTCAATAGGTACATTTAATAGATGTTTTTTACTTTAAGATATAAAACACTTTTACTGACGAATGCTTGGTTTTTTATTGCACTAACTCAGAGCTCCTATCAGATTAAGATTTTAAGAATAATAGAAGAGATATACTGTACCTGTGTTCTGCATTAGTTTATCTATTTTAGTGATATGATGCTTTTGCACTTTGTTTATTACCCATCTAATCTCTTACCATTTATAGTTGTAGCAAACGATCAAAAAACCCCATACTTATTTCTATGGAGAAAAATATAGTGCTATAATTAATTCTAAATACAGAAGTCTAATCATTTTATTTGTCTAATATTGAGATTGCGTTTAATTTTATCAGATAGTCCAATTTTAGCAATAATATGATATGTAAATATGCGTTTACAAAGTTTGCCCTTTGTTAAAGAAGGGCGTAAACGAAATGAAAGATTTGTTTCTTTACTTGTTCATAATTCAACTGCATTCTACTTATACTTTTATCTGATTTTAGCCACGTAGCAAGATCGCAGAGCTTTCACGGATCAGTAGGATTAGCAATCAGCGATTGGAGCGACGAGGAACCGGTCATATCCGCAGATGAAGGCCCACTTTACTAAAATTGTCTCAAAGTTAGTGGGAAACACGAAAACGAGCACATATGTGAAAATAAGATAAAACCAATTACAAAAATTCTTATTATATATAAAAAGTGCAAGAATAAGCGAATTTTACAGGATGTTATAGGAAAATTAAGCACTCCTATATCTATATAAATCTATTGAAAAGGATTGTAGCGAGCCAAATAATTAACTGGAGAAGTCTTTTCTATATTATAAATTTGTGGGCTATCGACTTATTCGATTGCTAAATCCTGAGTTACAAAAAATGCGCTTCCTGAAAGTGATACTTAAAAATTATATGCCGAAATTTACGATATTAGTATTGAAACGTCCAATTGTTTGTAATTAATTTGTACGAGATACTCTTTCTTCTCAAATTATTTCGTACTTTTTATTACAATGTAAAATGAAAAATATTGCCTAAATATAGGGATAAATATATTTAATGTGTACAATAATATTAAAAAGAAAAAGAAGATTAATAAAGGAGACTCAAGATGTTTTAATTATCAAGCGAGAATATAATAATACGGTATTCAAAATATAATAAGGAGTGCTAAATAGAGAAATATATGTGTGTCATTGGTTTAATTATGATTGGACCAATCGTGTAGCGTTTATGTACAAATATTTTTATCTATAAAACGTATTTTGTTTCGCATTGGTGCAGGCGATTCGTCTAATTATATTTACTTGTATATTTTATAAAGTGTATTTTTTTTATTTAAAACGAAAAGAGCAAAAAACTTTATGTATAGATTCGTGTATCTTTCTTCATCATATTACGGTTGATCAAATTATGTAAGTTACGTTGCTTGTAATAGCGAATACAATCTCAAATTGGGTACTCGCGATTTCTTTCTGCTAATGCAATTATCGACACAGAAAGAATGTTGTGCTAAAGCTCTCTTCCAAAGCGCGCAATGAATTGTAGTAAATATTTTTCCTGTACGATAATTTAATGTGATCATGAAAGGCTTTATGATGATCTTAATCATTAAGGTGTATATATCACTATCGAGCGATTTAATTGTACATTCTTTCTCTCGATTTTTACGTAAGAACTAACCGGTATGTCTGTCAATTTGGTTCGGAGAAGTTGAATTGTCTCTGTAACGTACTCGACCAGATAATATTAAATAACACGGACATAACATAAGACATATTTTATACTTGTTCAAAGGATTGTATCACCTGTTCATCATATGCCTGTTGTTCTAATATAAATTCGATGAAAATTTTATCTGAATTTCCTGGAGAATTTCGTGAAATTTATACAAGTTCGTTGTGCATATCGCAATCATGATAAAGAGTTATATTAATGTTCCCTTTATTGCGTAATTCTTAGATTGTTTCATTTTAAAGCAATTTCTTTGCATTTTTTTTAATATCTCAGCGTAAAAAAAAATTTAAATTAAGTAATTTAGATTTTTTTTTTATCGCGATACAATTTACAATTTATTGATTTGCAATACACTTTCATTGTGGGATTATGCAATAAAGGTCACAGAAGAATGTGATACTACGACAGGATTAGAAAGTTATTATGTATAAGTTAAATATGATAGTAATTTGAATTTCTTTGTTAGAAATTAATAGATAAATGTATGATAGTTTCCTAATTAAGTTTCCATTACATGTTCGGTTCTAAAAATGTTTAATTCTGTAGTGCTATGCAGAATCTGTTAATAATATTGCAAAGATTATAAAAATATGGTGTGCTATCATTAAAATTCAAATTTACTTTTAATTATTCGATTATTCATAAAAAATATTATTTAAAATAATATCTTTTCAAAATACACTCTTAAATTTACAGAACTGACACTCGATAGAAAAAATCTATTACATTTTATGCAGTAACATGCCATGTTGGAAGTTACACAATTAGTTCTTCGTTTCTTTTTTTACAAATTTATGCATATAATTAAAATATCTCACGAACGTACAAACTTCTCATAATGTTCTTAAACACATATTCATTTTTTATTCTTTCTTTAAAAAAAAAGGGCTTCCAATGTGCACACACAAACACGAATCACTATATATTTTCAAGATAGATACATCAAAATACATCAAGATATATTGCATCATTTTTATTTTGCATCTGGAAATATGAGGGTCATTAAAATAAAAAGAGAATTTAATTGTAATTTCATTGCTCTCGCGCAACAAAAAGAAATCTCAATTATTTCTGAATACACTTGCCGCAGATCCTCACCTTTCTAGATCGATTTAGCGAGCAATAATTTGTAAACTTGTAGGCGTTGTTATTTTGTCAAGGAATCTTTTAAGTGACCGATTATCAACGAATCTTAGTTTTTCTTTTATCATTAATGATATTGTATCTCAAAATGTCGTCTTATTAATATGATCTGAATCGTTTATTTCTATGCTATGTACACACAATTGCTGTTATTCGCATAATAGCGTACAAAATGTGTTTCGCATCCTGTTTTGTCACAGAAAGAAGCGCGTGCATATATATGTAATAACAATGGGATATATTTTTGTATATTCAGAGCCTACAGCCGTAAGCGCGTTAAGTTCCAATTCTGCAGTTAATTAACTTTTATCAGAATATGTACACAGTTCTTTTGCAGAATGTTTATTACACGATAGCGAAATATAGCATCCGTATCTTAGGAGCGTGTCAATCGATCGTATGTATCGTAATAATATATAAGTGTAAATCGCAAAGCAGCCGTTTGTTCCTTTATTTGATGGGAAAAGAGCGTTGTGTTAAAAAAAGAAAAAAATTGCAAAATATTGTCAAGTGTTCGCCAAGTCGCCTGCCGACCAAATCAATTTATCAGGAACTGGAACCTCATTTTATTTTAATTCCTTTTACCTTCTATTCGTATATAAGCGTGTGGTATCCGCGTTTAAAACTTGTACAACGATCATTTACAAAGACTGAGACTGAATTGCAGCAACAATTCACTCACTCCCGACTTTTTTTCAGATCATACTGTTGTTCATCGTGCGGATAAAAGAAAGGAAATAAAGTCGGAATCTTTGGACTTGTGCAATATTGAGAATAAAAAGTTGTCAAAAGTATAATGTTTCTTTATAAAACTGTTACTTAATTCGCGTTTTATTTTAGTTTTAGTAGCTCGATCTCTTCATCACAACATATTCATCACAATTCTCATTCTTCTCCACATATTAATATTCATAAACGTTAACAAATATCAAAATGTTAAAAAAGAAATCTTCATGCTCTGTCCAGCGAATAACGCACATACATAAAACATTAATTTTGCTATAATAACTATAATAAAGAGTAACTTTATTAATACTTTAATAAGCAAATAGCTTTTTTTGAATAACAAAGTAAATTTACTTATCGCAAAAAAAACTTAAAAAATAATGTGATGCATTTGTACAAGATAATAATTCAATTGTGCCATATATAATATATAAAGAGTAATGTTATATTAATACTTTAATAAGCAAAATTAACTTTATCAATAAATAAATAAATAATAAGTAAGAAAACTTTGTCAATAGTAGAAAAAATAACAAAGAATCCATAAATATGCATTTTTTATGTTAGATTTTCATTAGTTTTCTATCCGTGGGTATATGTACAGTTTTGAGCAAGTCTCGAAACGTTACTCATCTACATGCAGTCACATGTGGCCACATGATCACACACATGATGGAGAAACGTGATTGATCACCAGTCTTGTTGACAACGCTGCCTTGTTCTAGTGAGTAAAATGCCATGCGTTTCTTTAAATTACTCAAAATCATGTATCTAAATCATCAATACGTGTATCAATAAACGCATATAATACGAAAGATTTTTCATTAAATACTGAGACTCCGTACGAATTCTTTTTCAATGTACCACCGGTCGACGTTATAGGTTATCTCTCTTTAGAGTACGCATGTAATCTTTTCTTTGATATATCTACAAATCACTTGGACCTGAGTAACAGGGTGTTTTTTAACTCGTGTTTACGTTTGCAGGTTTTATCTTATCGCGCATTATTGAAAATCATGGACAACGATCTCGCCGAGGCAATCATAACGCAGGCTACAGATCCAAAAGTGGCATTTATGGCCGCGGTTGTCTTCGGGTATTGTTTGTACAAACTCATGACCATGGCAAACAGAAGGAGCCCTCAATCCTTCACGGAGGACTCCGACGAAACGGATGACGATGGCGTGGTAAAGAAACCACATATAACTTGTCTTCGAATCTCTCTCTCTCTGAAACTTTTATGTAATTTTTATCTTGTAATCCATTAAGCGTTTTAATTGTTACAATTGTTTTCTGTTTACCTAGGCATACACAGACAAGTATGACAATTACAAGTTGATTCTGGTAATTAGAACGGATTTGAAAATGGGAAAGGGAAAAGTGGCGGCTCAGTGCTCTCATGCTGCTGTCGCAGCGTACAAAGCTGCCAGGAAACATCCGAAAATTCTGAGAGGGTGGGAGGAGTCTGGCCAAGCCAAAATCACCCTTAAGGTACTGTTATTTCAAGCGATTCTGAATACTGGTAGTATTGACAAAGGAAATATACTCTTGTAAAATATATAACGAATTCGATATATTCGTATCAGTCCAATATATTAAATATTCCTTGTAAACATGAACCAGATCGTGAGGTTTCGATCGAAAGAGACCATTCGTTCGACATTTAATAAATATATTTAACTATACACAGTTAAAATAAATATCTTTTTTCGTACACGCACGCACGTACAAGGTGATGAAGGAAGGATATATTGACTTCCAGGTTGACAGCGAGGCTGCTCTGACGGAGATAGCGAAGCAAGCTAAGGCTGCGGGTCTCTTATCGAACGTAGTACAGGATGCGGGACACACGCAAATACCAGCGGGAAGCAAGACGGTATGCGCGGTCGGACCGGGCCCGGCGAAATTGATAGATCAAGTAACCGGTCATTTAAAGTTATTTTAACTGCTTATCAAATAAAGCCCGAGCCTTTTGATACACCCTCGATTTTTATATTTTATTCCTAACACCCCTAAAATATCTCGTATCTGCTATTTTAATTATATCAGTCTGTTGGCGAAATTTATTCAGTTATATGCAGAGAAATCAAGAAATCGTAACGCAGCAGAAGTTGACGTTAATGTCGCGAATTTTTAGTATCCACTTACATATATTATAGGAAGGTTAATATTATATGATTTTATTGTTTTTTTTTTTTTTTTTTTTTTTTTTATATTGCTTTGAGAAGCAGAATTTTGAGATTAACATTTGACTCGATAAAATGTACGAGTAAAACAAATTTCCTTCGTGACAAGCTTTAACAAAAGTATTTTTATCTTACTAGATTTCTCTTACAATTAATATAATACGTATTTGTGTGTGTGTTGCGAAGTACAAACGTATCATAGAGTGTCAATCCGACTCTCGCGTTCTCCTCGCACACTTGAGAACGCATGATTTCTAAGAAACATATAATAGTCGAAGTCAGAGCTCGGATGTTGGTGCAGCTAGTACTATTCATTGTAAATATCAATTATAAATGATAATGAATATATGTATAAGGAAGTTGATTCTTTTAGCTCATTAAACATCCGAACTCCACGAACAGTCGTCTTTTGCTATATTAATTAAGAACGTTAATAATTAAACGTTTGGACGGATTACAATTAAAATCATAGTTGAGCATATTAGCGCTTATTAGCGAGATTATTTTGTTCTTGTATGTATATAGATAGAGCTCGTTACATCACGAGTTCCGACGTATGAGAAACAGACATGTATGCAAATATGTGCATTTAGCGAATGTTAAGGCATTTATGGTCCCTAGCGCATTCTTTCAGGGTTTCATCTCGAATACCAAGAGATATTGGCAAGTTTGTTCCTCGTCGATCGCTTTTCTGTCAGCATTGCCGTGGCTGCAAGGCGGCGACCACCTGTTTCCCGATGTGTCTCCCATTCTTTGGTACCCAGTACTATATACTCCGCAAAATTAACTTATAAATATAAATAATCTATATCGGTGGCGCGGGAGCTTTCCGAGGTATTTTATTCGAACTGGCAGCGCTGCACTGCGACTCCGCGATAGATCTACCGTCGGCCTCGTCTCTCCTGCAGAGCTCCGGCTCGTTCTGTATCCAATTCTGCGTCTGACTGTGACCCACCGTCTTCGCCGATTGCGATTCCTCGTTCTCGGATACGGCGCCCACCTCCTCCAACAATTTCGACAAGGACGGCGCCAAACCCAATCCCAAATTACGCTCGTGGTAAACCTCCGAAATCGTGGGCGTGAGCTCGCGCGTCAGGCTCGTCAGGGAGGTAGCCAGGTTCCTCAAATTTTGCGGATGTGTCTCCGTAGACTGCGTCGCGTCGGTCTGCGCGCTGCAGATGTCCTCGTTCGCCGCCGTGGAATGCCGCGGCTTCCTCGACGAATTCGTGCCGATCTCCGTTCTCACGCTCAATCTCTCCAACACGTTAGCTGGCAACGGCGGTAACGGCTGTCGTCTTAGCACGGTAGCATGACCGTTATCCCAGTCTGTCACCGAACTGCTCGAGCTCGAGCCGGGCCTCACCGGATTCTGATCGGGATAAAGATTCCGGATTCGAGTCTGATGATTCAAGTTAAGCGCCACTGGAGGACTAGGTGTAAATGCCACGTCTGATTCACCTGGAGCGTTCGAACATAATATTAAATTTCTGCGTAAAGCTTATCTTATGAAATTTCTATACAAGATTATTTAATGTGAAATTCTCGCCGATTGAGCAAATCGTCTTTTAACATTTGAAAAAGACAGAATCAATTTGGAGGTGCTCTGTCTTGTAACTTTAAAATATTTATATGTACCTCCACCATTTTGACACGGCTGTCGTGACGCTGGTATCAAAACGTTCGGCGGTTCCATGGTCTTTCCATCTGGTTCGCCACGATGTCGTACGTAACTTGCGAACGCTCCTCCCAATCGTGGCCGTTCTACAAGGTTTTTCTCGATATGGGCTACGGAAGCTAAACTCTCCATTGAGCTGCCTGAATCTAAGCTAAGACTTTTTGGTGCTTCCTGTGTGTCTGCAATTGATAATAATATACACATTATACCAACGAATATAATTAATTTATATTTATTACTGTGTTACTATGTATCAATATTTGAATTTTAATTTACCAAATAATGCGAGAAGAGCTTGAAGAGCAAATTGGACAGCTCTACGTGAGGCTTGTTTGCCTGTTCTCAGTATCACTTCCGATTGCCCGACTTCCATCAAGTCAAATCCTAAGCTAGCGAACAGTTCGTGCGATCCTGATGCTCTCCAAACATGTACAGGCAATATAACTTCTTGTCCTTCTGTAGCGCAGCTGGCTCTTCTCATGGCAGCGATGACGTCTTCTGCGGCTTCCGGTGCCTAAAATATTTTTTGCGTAATTAATTAAAATCAACTTTATACCATATTTAGTTAAGCATAAATTAAAGTGAGTCAATACTTGTAAGAGCCTAGCCAAGGCGTGCAACGACGATTGGCCTAATCCTAGTAGAGCTTGTAGGCTGGCGCTACATCTCGTCAGTCTTTCCTCGGGATCGCTTTGTGGGAAGAACACGGAGGACGGTATACCGTTACCGGCCGGCTCGAATCTAAATCCCACGGACATCAGGAGCTCTCGCCAACCGGTGGCCGCGCCCACCTTGTTCTCAATACTACGCTGCGTCGTATACATGGCGTTCTTCTGTCCGCGATGAATTCTCTGTAACGATTTCTCTACCAGATGAAGCGTCACTCGCAGCGCGTCCCTGCTCTGCTCGGGGCCACCGCGCAATAATTCCGCTAGCGCTTGACCCATGAGCGCGACCTGATGAAACGAGAGAAAAATGATGAAATATTACGATTAAAATTGCGAAAAACGAAACACTATATTAAAATAATTTTTTCATTCAAAACTGTCTGATATAGTGTCATAATTATAATTTAATAATTAAAACAATGTACGAAAAAAAATTCTGTAACTAAAGGAGTCTACTTTCTAGAAGATTAGATTTATCCAGGTCATTTCAGAACATTAATCAATTGATTCGTTCGTTGTTTTGTATTTTACATTTGTTCAAATAGCACATACAATTCCTATCGAATATACCTTGTTGGATAATCTCGCGTCTCCGCCGATAAGCAGCCAGCCGGCCCAGTTAGCGGGATGAGCAAAGTGTCTGGTATGCTGGACGGTCTGCATCGCCTCGGCCAAGGCACGGGACGCTCTGGCGCCTTGCAACATCGCGCTGTAGAACGCTCGCAATAAAATACTGCCGGCGGTCGGTGGTACTGCCCACATCCCTATGAGCACACATTGCGCGCCCGTGCTCAGTAAGGTCTTGGCGAGATTCTGTATACCGTCTGACGTAGCGTTCGTGCAATCTACGTTGCTCCAACTTTGACCGCTGGACACAACAACCAGACGGGCGGACATCTTTATCCTAAGTAAGTCCGCCTGGCTTATCAGGTATTCCGGTCTCTCGGACGGCTCCTCACACTGATCGGGTGAGAACGCTAAACTGCTGGTACTCCAGAAGATCGGCACCGTCAAGTGAACGCACTCCGCATCCGGTAGAGATCGCAGAACCGCCGATCTGGTAGCTTCCAATCCTGTAATGAACGAATGAGAGTCGGAAATTGTATGTAACACTTCTGTAGAATTAAAAATTTCAATATTCTAACTGATACTAACCAGTCATTGCGCGGGCCTCCAGTAATTCGGCGACTATTTCCGACTCGGTCTCGGTGGAAGCGACGCTCTCGGCCCAACCGTACTCCTTTCGAATTTCCTCCGGCAGAACAGGATTTCCGGCGACTAGCGCGGCCACAGTAGCACCGCCTTCCAGCACAGGTGTCTTCGACCTCTTTCTGAGCGCCGCAAGGGATGGTACTACCAACAACGAAAATCTTTCGCACAGGTAATCCTCGCCTGGATTGGATTGCAAAGCCGGGAACGGTGCTAAGTAGAGAGACTTCTCCACCACGAGGATCAGCTCCTTTCGCGGCGGCGGTAGCAGATCCTCGAACGGAGCGAGGAGAAGGTCGTAGAGCACTTGTATCGGCAATGGTGCCTGCCACGTAGGTCCTTTCACGCCTCGTCCCCAACGGGCGCTTCCGGCGCGAGAGCTCACGGAACCGACGCTGAAGAGGCTGCTCAAACTGTAGGAACTGGCGTTCAAGTGATGACCCCTCGATGGGATTTTGGTAGATTCCTCAATGAGCTCGTTGCTCTCGTCCAAAAGCGCTTCGCGCGCTTGAAGGACTCTCTTTTCCAGACCTACCCCATCGTCCAACGTGGTGGAGTGGAATCGTAACAAACCGCGTCCTGGCGCTAAGCACCACGCATGCAATTCACATCCCACTTCACTGAAACGATTTCGTTCAATTATTTTAATCTATTAATAGAATCACGGAACCAACAAATTATTATGATATTAAATAACATTAGGGGAACGGGGAGTAGCCCTGGACATTATTGAAATTCAAGTATACCGCGTATCTATGGCCATTGTTTAAACACTCTGCATATGTCGAGAAAGGCATATTAGAATGTTTAAACAATGGCCATAGATACGCGATATACTTGAATTTCAATAATGTCCGGGGCTACCCTCCGTTCCCCTGTATTTCGCTGTCTCTCTTCTTTAAGTTATAATAATACTCGCTTGCAAAAAGATCATACCTGTAGTACAGGATAATTCCGCGTTGCCGATCAATAATCTCAGAATAGTGAGCTGCGTCGTCCAGGGAATTACTTTTAGATCGTCTAGATCTTTCCGCCCAATTCAAAGCTTCTTCTGCTCGGTTTAGGTGGATCAATACCTTTTGCAACATCCTATACGTCTCTGATAGCAATTCAGTTCGATTGGGTTGACCGCAAGACAGAGACACACAAGTTCCGTCTAATGACTCTAAGAGATTCGCGGCCTTCTCCAAGTGTTCTACGGAGATGG